CTCGCGCCTGTCCCCCCGCAGCGACTTCCTATCCCCCCAACACCCTCCCCACCCCCACCCCCTCGGCTCCGCGCGCATTCCCCGTCCCGAGGGTCCTGGCTGCCGGGGCACCGGGGACAGGCTGGGGACCGGGGCAAAGCGGGCAGCAGCCCGAGGCCCGGGGCGGGGCCGGCGCTGGGCGGCGCCCGAAGGCGCGCGCGACCCGGGCTCCTTGTCGCCCACAGAACGGCTTCGACTCCAAGGACGCGCCGGGATCCGCGCATGCGGGCCTCGCGCCCGCCGCCGCCGCCGCCGCCGCCTATTACCCCTACGAGCCCGCGCTGGGCCAGTACGCCTACGACAGGTGAGGGGCCGCCTCCTCGCCGTCCGCCCCCAGCCCACTGCCCTCGCGGCGGGAACCGGGGCGCGGTCCTTGCCCGCTCGCAGACAGCGTGCCACAGCCCCCGCGGAGCAGCAGTGACACATTTCACCGCAGAGAGCCTGCGCGCGCCCTCCGCGCGTCTTCTCCCGGTTGGTGCTAATGACTGGTAGTGCCCGTGGGGGTCACACCCTCGGGTTTGCAGCCCTGTGACGTGCTCTCCCGGTTTCGGGAATCAAAAGGGTAGGAGAGAGGCCCAGGAAAGGAACAGGGAGACGTACGTCCATGTGGAGTGACAGACCCCTCTCCGGGCCTTGTGCCCGCGCCCCACCCTTGAACCCCCTGGCTCGCGAAGGAGCCCAGGCTCCGTGCAAGTTGAATGAAATATAAACGTTCTCATCACCCTCGGGCCAAAAACTGCAGCCCTCGTGGGCAGCGGCGCTGGGTGGGCCTGGGTCCGACCCGGGCCTCACCGTCCTAAACACACCCCGAGCACAGGGGCCCGAAGTCTGCGGGGGCCTCGCTCGGGAGCGCCCCGCGACGGCTGGCGGTCCCCGGCCCGCGCCCGACCGCCCCGCCTGTCTTCAGGTACAGCACCATGGACAGCGGCACGCGGCGCAAGAACGCCACGCGCGAGACCACGAGCACGCTCAAGGCCTGGCTGCAGGAGCACCGCAAGAACCCCTACCCCACCAAGGGCGAGAAGATCATGCTGGCCATCATCACCAAGATGACCCTCACCCAGGTGTCCACCTGGTTCGCCAACGCGCGCCGGCGCCTCAAGAAGGAGAACAAGATGACGTGGCCGCCCAGGAACAAGTGTGCGGATGAGAAGCGGCCCTACGGGGAGGGCGAGGAGGACGACGGGGCCGAGGAGGACGCCCGGGACGAGCCGCTCAAGGGCGCCAAGAACGAAGGTGGGTAGAGAGAGGCTGGCGATGCTGGGGCGCGAGACCACGCCTCCCGGTGCCTTCTCTGTGGATTCTCGGGTGCTAAAGGCGTTGAACCTTCGGGGGCCTGGGCAGCAAATGGGTGAGCTGACCCAGACAAAGCCACGTGTGTGTGTGTGTGTGTGTATGTGTGTGTGTGTGTGTGTGCGCCAGGAGCATAATGTTTAAAACGTTAGACACCCCACCCCACCCCCATTGTTTGAGGCTGAAATCCACTCACACGTGGTGCCAGTTTGGGGGATATGAGAGGCACAAAGAAACGTGGGTGCTCTTCCCAGCTGCAGGGCCAGGCCCCATCACCACGGGCACAGAGGTGGGAAAGAGGAGGAGATGGGGTCTGGTTGACCTGCCACCCTCTCTCCCTCCACTGGCCGCTCTTTCTCTCCTGGACAGAGTCGGTTGGCAAAGAGGAGAAGGATCTAGAGCTCAGCGACTTGGAGGACTTCGACCCGCTGGAGGCCGAGCCCCCAGAGTGTGAGCTGAAGCCTCCCTTCCAGCCCCTGGACAGTGGTCTGGAGCACTCTACCGCGACGGACGGCCCCAGTGCCCCCGGAAAAGAGGCCTCGGGTGCCCTCCGGATGCCCCTGGCCGGTGGTGGCGGGGCCGCCCTGGACCAGGACCTGGAGAGGGCCAGGAGCTGCCTCCGGAGCGTGGCAGCGGGGCCGGAGCAGCAGCCGGGTTCCGGAGGTGGCCCGCAGGCCTGCGAGGCCAAGCTGGGCTTTGCGCAGGCCGGGGCGACAGCGGGCCTCGAGGTCAAGCCGCGCATCTGGTCCCTGGCGCACACGGCGACCGCAGCCGCTGTCACCAACCTGAGCCAGACTGAGTTTCCGTCGTGCATGCTCAAGCGCCAAGGCTCCGTCGCCTCTGCGACCGTCTCAGCTGTCTCGTTGGCGCCCGCCTCGTCCTCGCCTGCGGCCCCGGCCTCCACCGGTGCCCTGGACAGGCACCAGGACTCCCCGGTAACCAGTCTCAGAAACTGGGTAGACGGAGTCTTCCATGACCCCATCCTCAGGCACAGCACTTTGAACCAGGCCTGGGCCACCGCCAAGGGTGCCCTCCTGGACCCGGGGCCGCTAGGACGCTCGCTGGGGGCGGGCACCAACGTGCTGACGTCGCCCCTGGCGCGCACTTTCCCGCCTGCCGCGCCCCAGGACGCCCCGGCAACTGGCGCTGCCAAGGAGCTGCTGGCGGTGCCCAAGGCCGGTGGGAAGCCCTTCTGCGTGTAACTCGGCGAGACCACTGGGCCCGGGACAGAGCCAGTGCTCAGGCTGCAGGCTGGCACGCTGAAGACTTTTTTTCTACCAAGTTTCCAAAGCTAGGCGAGAGCGCAGCAAAGCTCAGGCCACCCACCCACGTTGGAGGGAAGATCTGAACTGGGTCTTCGGGGACCACGGGCGAGCCCTGGGATCTGTCTCGTCAGGCCCACCGACCACCCTGGCCATTTCCAAACTCGGGGACAGGCGAGATCTGGCTGCTCCCAGAGCAGAAGGCCGCTCTGAAGCGTCAAGTTTACGTCCAAAAGTTTACATGGAGAAGACATTTGGGTTCCGAGGCTTTGTTTGTGTCTCTGTCTCCTGCCCGTGTTCCCTCTGAAGGCCTGCTGACCTCTGATCTCACCCTCAGCGTATCGTTCTCACCCACACACTTCCACCGAATTCACACGATTGCACACTCTTAACTCGATAAAATTATGTTTTTTAAATGTATGTTCACACCAATAATTGCCTGCTTCCGAGGCTGATATAACAAAATCAATAAAACCGAGTGATGATGTTTGCATTGCAAAATGAACACATTTCCAAGGTGGGGATTGGAGAACTCGGAGGAGGAAAGGTGCTGACCCCACAAGAAGAGTGGGGGAGGCGCTGACCCAGGGTCCCCAGGAAGTTGCTTGCAGAGCCCAAGACATGGTTTGGTAAAGCCATTTTTAAAATAACAGTCAAAATAAACTTTCAGGATTCTGTTGAACTCCGTAATGGAAGTGGATGAGAGACCCGCAACTTTAAAACTCTTCCCCATTACCAGACTCCAGAATTTTGAGAAAATGGGAGTTTCTTTGGCTAGATAAATTAGAATAGCTTTTAAACTTCTTAAATTCCCTGGGACTGTGCCCTGGTAGGGACAGGCCGGGACGTCAGTCAATGCCCTGAGGCCTTTCTGCTGCAGGCGGCCCACTGACGGTGCTCTGCGGCTGTGTGCCGCCTTCCGGCGCCCCGCCGGGCTCCTAGCCCCGCCCCACCCCCTCCCGGGACCCTGCGCTCCGCTGGCAGTGAGCCCCCACTGCGAGCTGCGGGTCCAGGACCGGGAAGAGCAACGTTGGCCTCAGACCCTAGGCGGGGCCTTGGGGCGGGGGCCAGAGGCGGTGGGCAAGGCCTGGGTAGGGATTTAGGGCCAGAACCTGACGAGCAATTTGGGGGCGGGGGTGGGGGTGGAGGTGAAGATGCAGGCTATGCCCCGCCTCGCCTTGGTTCCCGCGCTGCGCAGACCCCTGGCTTTGCTCAAAAACCGGGTTCCCCCCACCGCCACCCCACCCGTGCAGGCGCCGGGCCGCGCCAGGGCCCCTCGAGGGCGGCGTGAGCGCGCAGCGTGCACTGGACTCGGGGCTTGCCCCTTGCCCGCACGCCCTCTGCTTAGGCCCTGCGGGACTTCATTCAAGTCTCAGGCTTCCCGCGTGAGAACGGGCCGGCCGGCCAGCGAGCCTGCAAGGGTGGAGCTGCAGGGGGTGCAGCGACAAGGCGATGGCGGCCCTCGCCCAGGACGCGGACAGATAGACGGCCGCGGAGACGCCCAGTGGAGGCGCGGGTCCTCACAGGGGTCCTTTCGAGGAACTCGCGAGGCTGGGCTTTCTTCTTCGAGGGGCTGGGTGGGACCCGTCCCAGGCCCCGTGGGGTGGGACCCGTCCCCCGTCCCAGGCCCCGTGGGGTCAAGGCCGGGAGCGCTGGAAAGCGGACTTAAGTGTGACCGGGCCTCAGGGCGGGTTTACACGCCCGAGAAAGGGAAATTTCGCGGCCAGAAGCCGGTCGCCTGGGCTGCGGGGTCACCCTGAGTGGTGGGACCCTGTTGGCGGGACCTCGGCCGGCCCCCCAACTCTGAGTGGTAGGACCTCGAACCCCAGGCCTTGAGCAGAGGAAGCAGCGCCCGGACCCTGCGTGGGGACCCGCCACCGCGCCGAGCCTGCCCCGGCCGCGCGTGGTAATTGGATTGTACCCGCCCGCGCGCTGTCACCGTATTGACTTTCGCTCTCCTGGATGATATTATCGAGACTCGGAAGCCGCCGCTGATGTGCTTGTCAAAAGGCTGCGGCGGGAGGCCCCGGCCTGGCGAGCGAGCATCAGCCAAGATAATTTGAAGTGAAATTTTCATTTTGACAGTAAACCCCTCAATTTCTAAAGGCTCGGCGCTCCGAGAGCCCGCTGGCAGGGGGAGGCTTTGCAGAAAGCCACGTCTTAGACTGAAAAGGGCAAAAGAACTCGAATTAGTTGTAACAGATAAAAGGGCAGAAACAGCCAAGGGTACTTGACAGTAATAGCGAAAGTGGGGTCTCGGGGGAGACGCCGCCCGCGGCCGGGGCCGGGGCTCCAGGAATTGTAATGCGGCCGCCCGAGCGTCGCACCCCAGCCCGAGACAAAGCCAGGCGTTTTCAGCCAAAACAAGGCTCCGCGGACGCGCGCGGCTGTGGTCGCGGGCGCAGACGGCGGACCTGACCCCCATGCGTCCCCGAGGCCGCCCCGGGCCGAGGCACCGTGCCGTGCGTGGCGCGGGACCCCTTCTGTCCCCGACGCCCGGGCCGGGCGGTCCCACGCTGCAGGGGACCCCCGCTCTCCGGGGGACTGGCTGCCTAAACGTGGGCTCTCTGACTAAACTGCAAAGCCGTGTGAAATGAAGACATCAAGTGGGGAGAGGGGTTCAGCCACATCCCAGGGCGACTCTCCCAAAAGGACGCCCGAAGCCGGGGCTGTCACGTCGCCCCACGCCGTGACCTTTGGGGGCACACTCTGGAAGCTTCGCTTTATGCGCTTTACGCGCCTGCTGGCGGGTCTTCCCGGGGTGACGGGGTCAGGCGCGCAGGGCCCCGCGCGGGGCGGGGGGGGGCCGCGGGGAAAGGTCGCCGTCCCCGGGCGGGGCCCCCGCAGGCCCGGCGCGGCTGTCAGGCGGGAGCCGGGGCGCCGCGCTCAGCCACTCAGGCGTGGCGGAGCCGAGCGCGCCGAGGAGGGCGCGAAATTAACGGCGCTCTTTACATAGAGCCCAAATAAAACGGTAATCAGCGGCGCGTTACTTTTCATTAAGCGCGTCTGACAGCCGCACATCCAGGGCCGACAGGGGAGCCGGCGCGGGAAATATACGGCTCGGCGCGGGCCCGAGATAATTCCTGAAGCCCCATTAACAACGCCTAGCCGCGGGAAACGGGCTCCCGGAAACCGGCTCCAAATCTAAAAGCTTTATCGACCCTCCGCCCGCTGCTGATGGTTCCATTTTTTTCTTTTTTCTTCCTTTCCTTTCCTTTTTTTTTAACTTAAGGGAGAGACGTTTGTTTGAGGCTGAAATCCACTCACACGTGGTGCCAGTTTGGGGGATATGAGAGGCACAAAGAAACGTGGGTGCTCTTCCCAGCTGCAGGGCCAGGCCCCATCACCACGGGCACAGAGGTGGGAAAGAGGAGGAGATGGGGTCTGGTTGACCTGCCACCCTCTCTCCCTCCACTGGCCGCTCTTTCTCTCCTGGACAGAGTCGGTTGGCAAAGAGGAGAAGGATCTAGAGCTCAGCGACTTGGAGGACTTCGACCCGCTGGAGGCCGAGCCCCCAGAGTGTGAGCTGAAGCCTCCCTTCCAGCCCCTGGACAGTGGTCTGGAGCACTCTACCGCGACGGACGGCCCCAGTGCCCCCGGAAAAGAGGCCTCGGGTGCCCTCCGGATGCCCCTGGCCGGTGGTGGCGGGGCCGCCCTGGACCAGGACCTGGAGAGGGCCAGGAGCTGCCTCCGGAGCGTGGCAGCGGGGCCGGAGCCGCAGCCGGGTTCCGGAGGTGGCCCGCAGGCCTGCGAGGCCAAGCTGGGCTTTGCGCAGGCCGGGGCGACAGCGGGCCTCGAGGTCAAGCCGCGCATCTGGTCCCTGGCGCACACGGCGACCGCAGCCGCTGTCACCAACCTGAGCCAGACTGAGTTTCCGTCGTGCATGCTCAAGCGCCAAGGCTCCGTCGCCTCTGCGACCGTCTCAGCTGTCTCGTTGGCGCCCGCCTCGTCCTCGCCTGCGGCCCCGGCCTCCACCGGTGCCCTGGACAGGCACCAGGACTCCCCGGTAACCAGTCTCAGAAACTGGGTAGACGGAGTCTTCCATGACCCCATCCTCAGGCACAGCACTTTGAACCAGGCCTGGGCCACCGCCAAGGGTGCCCTCCTGGACCCGGGGCCGCTAGGACGCTCGCTGGGGGCGGGCACCAACGTGCTGACGTCGCCCCTGGCGCGCACTTTCCCGCCTGCCGCGCCCCAGGACGCCCCGGCAACTGGCGCTGCCAAGGAGCTGCTGGCGGTGCCCAAGGCCGGTGGGAAGCCCTTCTGCGTGTAACTCGGCGAGACCACTGGGCCCGGGACAGAGCCAGTGCTCAGGCTGCAGGCTGGCACGCTGAAGACTTTTTTTCTACCAAGTTTCCAAAGCTAGGCGAGAGCGCAGCAAAGCTCAGGCCACCCACCCACGTTGGAGGGAAGATCTGAACTGGGTCTTCGGGGACCACGGGCGAGCCCTGGGATCTGTCTCGTCAGGCCCACCGACCACCCTGGCCATTTCCAAACTCGGGGACCGGCGAGATCTGGCTGCTCCCAGAGCAGAAGGCCGCTCTGAAGCGTCAAGTTTACGTCCAAAAGTTTACATGGAGAAGACATTTGGGTTCCGAGGCTTTGTTTGTGTCTCTGTCTCCTGCCCGTGTTCCCTCTGAAGGCCTGCTGACCTCTGATCTCACCCTCAGCGTATCGTTCTCACCCACACACTTCCACCGAATTCACACGATTGCACACTCTTAACTCGATAAAATTATGTTTTTTAAATGTATGTTCACACCAATAATTGCCTGCTTCCGAGGCTGATATAACAAAATCAATAAAACCGAGTGATGATGTTTGCATTGCAAAATGAACACATTTCCAAGGTGGGGATTGGAGAACTCGGAGGAGGAAAGGTGCTGACCCCACAAGAAGAGTGGGGGAGGCGCTGACCCAGGGTCCCCAGGAAGTTGCTTGCAGAGCCCAAGACATGGTTTGGTAAAGCCATTTTTAAAATAACAGTCAAAATAAACTTTCAGGATTCTGTTGAACTCCGTAATGGAAGTGGATGAGAGACCCGCAACTTTAAAACTCTTCCCCATTACCAGACTCCAGAATTTTGAGAAAATGGGAGTTTCTTTGGCTAGATAAATTAGAATAGCTTTTAAACTTCTTAAATTCCCTGGGACTGTGCCCTGGTAGGGACAGGCCGGGNAGGGGAGCAGAAGGGGGGAGGTGGGGGAGCAGAAGGGGGGGTCTAGAAGAGGGTGAGGGGGGACCACCTTCCAACCTGTCCGGCATCAATTTTATGGAGAAATACTTGTGAGGAAAATGGCTTTTCCCCAAAGAACCCTGACTCTTGGGGCGAAGGCGGGAGGTTTCTCTGAACTCCAGGGGAAAGACGGGCCCCTGCTCATGGCGCCTGAGTAAGCCCTGAGCCCCCGGCATGTCCACCTTTCTGTAGGGGACAGAGGAGTGGGCGTCTCCTCAGGGTCTCAGACATCAGCCAAGCCCACGCTGCACTTCAAGCCTGGGCTCAGAGAAGGCTCCGGGGCCTCCTGAGGACATCTCGCTCTAAGGGTGGGGTTCAAGGTGCAGGGCCCCGTCCACTGACAGCCCTGAGGGCTCAGACTGATCCCCAGATGTAGGAGGTGACCAATGGCCCAAGCGAGGATTAGACCAAGGAAGGGTTTTCCACGCTTGGCCCGCCGCTCACCCACATCGGGGAGCTAAAGCAGCTAGTCCCTGCACCCATGGTGACACTGTTTTTGTTGTGGGGACATGGTTATTCGGGGGACTCTCAGAGGAGGAGCTGAATTTCTGCGTGACTGCCTCATTCCCACTGCTCTTCAGGTGTGGGTGGGGCCCACATGGTTAGGGGCTGCCGATCTCATGGGGAGACCATAATAAGACAGAGAGGTGGGGCTGTTGCCAGGGGTGGCCCAGGGGTGGTGCGCACAGGCTGTCACCTGAGCATTTGACACCTTTGCTTCTCAAGGCATTGCGTTCTCAGAAGAGCAAAATCGTTATTACGAGCGGGCGGAACTGTGTGCACAACGCTTGTGAGACACGGTCCAGGGCTCGTGGTGCCCGTGCTGGATGCCAGAGGCCCTGAGTGGCAGCGGTGGCCAGGCCATGCTGGGGGGGGGGCACAGGAGATGCTGGAACCCTTTCCAGCAGTTCAGCCATCCTCTGTCCTTGTCCGTCTCCCGCTTTCACCAGCTCTCTCAGGGGTGAGGCCCTGGCTGTCGAGCCGCAGGGGCCACCGCTGGCGCTGCCCGGGTCTCAGTGAGCACGTCAGATTGTGACAGAGCAAGAAATGGAAGCCCTCCGGGGTGCGGGGAGGGGCCAGAGTCCAGGGCACCCACGGGGAAGAGACAGAGGGTGGGGGAGGGGAGGGGTGCAGGGCTGAGGCAGGGACAGCGACCCGAGGGAGCCTGGCATGGGCCGGGGGGCGGAAGCCTGGAGGGCAGTGAACAGGGCAGCAGGGCAAGTCCTTGGCTGCAGCCCCGGGCGCGGGAAGCCTATGGTGGCCCCATGCAGGCAGGTGGGGCTGCTCCTTCACATGTGGAAGGTTCACCTGTCATGGGGTGGCCAGGGATGAAAGTAAAATATCCAATAATCCACCAGCATGAAGGCAGCAGGGACAAGCCCAGGACAGGGGAAAGGTGGTGTCCTGTGATGGTTTGACGTCTTAGGGCCTGGCAGGAAGAATCATGTGTCAGGGAGACGCAGAAATAAAACGACGGGCATTTCTGGGAACACAGGGGCCAGCGGGTGCCACAGTGCAGATCTCGCTGTGCTGCTGACTCAGCAGAGCGCTCGGCACAGCCTGTGTCACACCTGTGCCAGACATGGCCTGGCACCTTCCCTGCGGGCCGCAGCCTCAGGGCTCCCCTTCCCGCTGCCCCAGCGGCAGCTGCGACCTCCCCAGCGCCAGTGGCAGGATGGCAAGAGGTGGAAAGTGAGTGGAGGAGAATGAAGGGTTCCAGAGATGTAAACTGAGGCGCTGTCAGGGGGAGGAGTGGCCCCTGGGCAAGGTTTGCAGCACCGGAAGTCTCCTGGGGAAGGACACCCCACCGTGCGGGTACTGTAAGCGTGCACAGGCACACTCACATGCAAGTCCACACGTGCACACACCTGCTCACACATACGCACACAGCATATGGGCACACTCACACATGAGCCCACGTGTACATGCATGCTCACAGATACGCACACACAGGCACACGCACACTTGCACATACTCGCGCACAAACTGTGGAAAGTTCCCACTGCTGCCAGTCGGTCCGGTCTGGGGCACCTTGGCATCTGGAGCAGAGGCGGCAGGGCAGAAAAGGCAAAGGTGAGGAAGAGAGGCTGGAAGGGCACGCAGGGCCTCCCTGGGCACAGAGCTTGCCCAGAGGGGAACCGGGAATGCAGGCACCTAAAGAGGGTTTTGTTGGGGTGAGGACACAGGAGAGCCCTTGTGGAGTCGGGGTGCCAGGACTGGCCCCTCTAGAGCAGAGCCTCACCCTCTGACCCAGGCGGGGTGGTTGGGCAGGAGGGAAGACAGACAGTGAAGCAGTGCCCAGTGTCCCCCGGGAGATGGCCAGTGAGGCAGCCCCAGCCTGTCCCCGAGGAACTGTGGTCTGGACCCTGCCCCCAGGAGCCCAGGCGACAATGCCCTGGGCTCACCGTCCTGGGGTGGGGGTGACGCCCTCCTGGCCCCACCTGGCCTGGGGAACCCCACTCCCACACTGCAGCCTGAGCGTGTGTGGCCCCTGCGACCCCGGCCTGGAATCGGAGAGCAGACCCTGGCTTCCCTGCCCGCTCCCAACTGCGCCTTTGCGTGTCCAGGGCGGCCTCGCCAGCAGGTAGCAGGGCCTGCCCTTCACACAAGGGACTCTGTTCACAGTCGGATTGCAAATGGGGTCTTAATTAAGGAGTTGATGATAAAGACTCTCTTCGTGGAACGTTAGCCCAAGTTCACGACAGTGAGCCTGACACCAGCCTTGCAGCAGCGCTGGTCTGGGCGACAGCATGTTCATGCCAGGCACGCGGGCGGGCACGGCACGCGTGTGATGGTGGCTCGCAGGGCCTCCGGGCACAGGGCGGTCCCAGCACTGGGGGCAGACCCTTGTGGGGCGGGCGTCAGCACCAGCACCCGCACACACTGTCACCAGCACCTCTGGGTTGGCAGAGTCCATGCTGGTGGCTGCGGGCCCACCTCTGCTTCCACTGGCCTGTGGGCCTTTAGTGGCTGCCCCCTTTCTGCTGTGGCCCCATCTTAGCAACCACGTGGCTGGGAAGGGGGAGGGGAGATGCTGGGAAAACCTCAAAATTTAGGGCTCACACATGGCCCTTCTTGCCTGGCACTCACTCAGCGGTGAAAATCGGCTGTGTGCACAGGCAGATGTGGGACAACCCCTGGAGGTTGTTCGAGGGACAGGCGTCAGGCCAGCCAGGGAGGACAGGCCTTCAGAGAGGGGCTCTGCATTCGCAGCAGCTTCGGGGCTGGTGCAGGGACTGCACACGTGCCTGCTCTGGGCCCACAGTCCTCAGGGAAGCAGCCGCGGGCGTGGTGGCCTGGCCACGCTACTCTGGCCCTTCTTCCCCCAGGACAGCCCACCGTCCATCTGCTGAGCCAGCTGAGGACCCCAGGGGAGCAAACAGTGAGTGTGGCCAGGCCAGGGGCACCCCAGGGGAAACCCGCCTGCTGGGCCCTGCGGGGTGAGGGGCACAAAGTGGAAGGGGGGGGCCGTGCCCTGCTGTCACCTCCTTGTTTGCTCACTAGTATTCCAGAAAGTCCCTCATTGTCCTGAAGCCGAGGAGAAGCACCGCACAGACGTGTGCCCTGCAGGCAGGGGACGCACAGTTTGGGGACACTGCCAGCAAGGCTGTGCACCACGGGGAGGGGCCCCAGCCCGCTCAGGTGTCCCTGCTGCCCCAGACAGACCCCTCCCCACCCCCAGCCCAGTTTGCTGTTCTCATCTCCGTTTGTTCCCAAAACTACTCCCTTTCCAACGCTGCAGGCCGAGGTGGCTGTCTGGGCGCAGCCAGCACCTTCGTAACTTTTCACCTATGTCCGTGTCCAGCCCACATCAGGCTGCCAGGGATACAGGTGGTCGCGGGGTGAAGGCCAGGCCGGCAGGCGGCCGTCTGCTCCCCCCTCCTTCCCTAAGGACACAGACCGAGCTGCTTTGTTTGCGGTCACCTGCTTCTGGAAGTCAGAGATGATTCATTTTATTCTTCTGGTTTTGAGTACAAAGTAAGTTACTATCCTTGACAGTCAGCATGTTCTTCCCTCATGGAAGGCGCCATCCCTGTTTCGAGCGCCTCTGACACAGACGTGCCTGCTTGGGGACATCTAAGCGCCTGTGGGATGAGCAGACAGACTAAACGAGAGGCAAATGGTCTCATTTCCCAACGCACCCCGCTTGCCAGTAAGCTCATTTCAAAATGCCGGCCTTGTATTTGAAATAGATGTTGGTTTCCCAAAGCTGGAATCCAGAGGAACCCCCAGCCCGTGGGTGTGCGTCTGCGCCCACGTGTGTCCTTATCAAGCCCTTGCTCAGGGCAGCGGATTCCCGGCTCTCACACCCACCAGGACCCTAACCTGCCCCTGGCTTTTGCTGATCTGGGCAGGCAGTGGACGAATCATTGCAGGATTGTGAGAAGCAAATAAATAAACATACTTTAAAATAAAAGCAGAGTGTCATTTAAATATAGGGGATGCATATAGATAAGAGAGAACTGTGGAGAGCAGCCCTCATTGCCTCCCCGGGTCCCCTGCAGCCCTCACTACCCCCCCCGAGTCCCCCCGCAGCCCTCACTACCTCCCTGGATCCCCCCGCAGCCCC